GATTAGAACAGCAAAACAGAGTGCATAAATCATTAGTCAGTGTTTCTAAAGTGCTTTGATAGCCTTTGTTCCTGAGTTGCTTGAGAATATCTGCTATAAGCACTTTTTTCCCACGGAAAGCCCCAAAAGACATTTTGTAATTCGAGAGCATTTAAATCGCAATGTTATTAAATAAAAAGTAATGCTACCAAGTGGAGAGAGGAAATAGAGGACTTTGATGTGGAGAAGGTTTGTTGCCCTGAGACAGAGTAATGAGGCACAACTTGCTCTGACTTGCAGACTTCGCGGTAAAATGTAAATCTGAGCAAGGAAGTCACCCCCAAGCTGAGATGTGGGTTGCAGTAATTCACTTTCTATGCCTGGAGAGAGCTCTTTGTCTTCCCCTGCAATAAATGCAGGGCAGTTTTTGTTGGAGAAAGAGTCGCTTTAGCCAACTGTTGTCTCCACTTACCTCCCCAGCCACAACTCCTCCCAAACTGCAACAATGCATGTCAGAAAAAAAAACCCAACCCAAACTCAGAAATCTAAACACAATTCCTTTATCACCTGAAGAAAAAAGGAAAATATTGGGGTGAAGCTGACATAAAAACAACAAGAAATATTTAGCTTAGGCATTGCAGGAATTCAGATCAGATATTTCAGCTCTGGGGGTCTTCTCAGGGGTGACAATGAGAAGGGTCTGTAAAATGCCTTGGACATGGGTAAAAACCTAAAAGCTGGAATAAAAGATACTGACTGTCCTCTGAAAAAGCACAGAAAAAGGGTAAATAACCGCAAACGTATGTAGAATATTTTCTGGAAAGTATAGTGTGAAATAATGACATATTTTCACCTGATATACAGCAAATGTGATAACAGAGGATTTGATCAAGAATGTTGAAAGGATTTTTTTTAATGAAAGAGAAGAAGAGCTACATTAATATTGACCCATGACTTCCAATGGCACAAATCATGATCTAATTAAAGCAATGGTGTGCACCACCTTGTTTCCTGTACATTAAAGCAAATGTGATTGTGTAACACTGAAGCGTCTAAATCACTCCTACATTTTCATACATTAACACAACTCCAAACATTAGCTGCATTGAACACCAACTAATGAATGTTTGTGAAATCATTACAAAGTGGTTTTTTTTCTCAAGAAGCCCTAGAACATACTTGTTAAGAGTTAATGCCCACAACATCTAACAAGAAAAAAAAAAAACAACCCAAAAAAACAAACAACAACAAAAAAAAGCCTGCTGCTTTGGGTTTTCCTCAAAATTGTGCCTCTTTTGATGGATCATGGGCAGACGTGGGACTTCATACATTTCTGGATGGTGATTTCTTTGACTTCCTAGCTCAAATCACTGTCAGCAGAACCACGGGCCCCTGAATTTCAGCTCCCACTTAACCTGCTTTATTGAAAAAAAATAATTTTTACATAGGATTGAGTTGCCACTCAAAAGACTATTCCTCTCAATGGAAACCTGTTGGGGAATTATCATGTGTAGTGTATGATCTCAGCTGATATTCATGACCACCTGAAATCCATCTTAGGTCAATGAGGTCTATTTAAGTTGGGGATGGAAAAGACAAAGTCCGGGGTAGTCCCAGGATAAGATGCACTCTGTCTCCAATTAATTTAACAGATAAATTTAAAGGACTGTTAAGGAAAAATGCACATGTCAGACAAAGATCAGTCTTACAAAATCTGTGAGCAAACAAGGTTGTGACAACTTTGTAAAAGGACAAGTAATATGTGGAGTCAGCTTAATGCACGTGGTAATTCCAGTGAGGTCACTAAAATGATACCAGGAATTACACTAGCCAATTAAGACCCAAGATTAAAGAAATCATGATGGTGTAACATCGACATCACATGGTGTGAGAATTAGAATAAAATCATATCCACGATAAACACAAAACTTTCGTCACTCAAGGCTGTTAAACAATTTCTGTTAGGCAGCCAAACACAACCCCCAGCATCAAGCAAGATCCAAACCACACAGGAATGCTGAGAAACTCTATATAAGCACCAGCCTGAGTTCATCCAGACACTTCTTTTGGCTTATTCGCCTTGCTGAGCTGAGTGAGTATGATTTTTTTTTTATTTCTTTCTATTTACTTAATCGGAACCTATATCAGACTAGACGTGGAAGATTCTAACATCTAACTTGGGGCTCCTTCCTCGCTTTGGGGAACTCTGTGGTAGAAGACACCAAGGTTCCTACATTGTTTTTCAGGGTGTGTGTTTGCAGGAAGTGTCAGACACATCTGTGCAAGTCCACAAGGAAGATCAATCTATGGAGTCTGGTCATTCTTGGGGTGGTCTTATACAGTCAGAAACTTTGGATCCCTGTGCTCAGCTAGTGTTAATCAAGTTGATCAAGGCTGCACATAAAACATGCACTATAGCACAAGACAGCATAATATAGTAAATTCTCTAATATTAGCATTTTGAAATATAACTCATAAACCATCTGCCTTTTTAGTCTTTTCCATCTCTAGCTGTTGCAAACCAAACTCCACCCCTGCAAGATGTCTTGCTATGACCTGTGCCCACCGAAACCCAGCAGCGTCGCCGTCCCCCAGCCCATCGCTGAGAGCTGCAACGAGCTGTGCGCCC